GAAATGGGTTGGATTGGGGCTAAGACAATCCCACTCTAGCTGTGTGGAACTGCCAGAGCAGATCTTTGTAGAAGCCACCAAACCATCAGGGGATTCACCTGCCCAATAGTATGGGAAAGGGTACACGGGGGCAGAAACTGGCATTCCTTCCAGTTACAGAATAATAGAGTTGGAAGATACCTTGAAGATCTTCAACTCTCTGCTAGAGCAGGAGACCCTATACCAGTGGTAGGAAACCTTGGCTCTTTTACAACTCGTGGACTTCAACTCCCAGAATTCCTCAGGAATTCTGGAAGTTGAAGTCCACGAGTCGTAAAACAGCCAAGGTTGCCTACCCCTGCCCTATACCATTCTGGACAAATGGCTGTCCAGTTTCTTCTTCAAAACCTCCAGTGATGGAGCACCCACAATTTCTGAAGGCCAGCCGTTCCACTGGTTGATTGTTCTCCCTGTTAGGAACTTTCTCTTTACTTCTGGGTTGGTTCTCTCCTTGGTTAGTTTCCATCTGTTTCTTCCTGACCTGCCCTCAGCTGCTTTGAAGATTGATTCCTGTGGCAGCTCCTCAAATATGGAAAGATTGCACCAATCTCGCTCTCCCTGGCCTGACATCAATCACACCACACCCTACTTCTGGATCTGTTTGCTTGCCATCCTGACCGGAACCTTGCAGGAAACATGTTTCCACCCAGGACGGTGACCTGGACCTGGACTAATTAAAGCCTTTCCTGTAGATCTTGATTTTTATTTTATTTTTTTGGAATGGCTATTTCAGCACCTGTTGCTTTGCAAGATTGTCAATGCCTGCAGTTATCATCTCAAGAAGAAAATGTGTGTGTGTGTGTGTTTGTGTGTGTGTGCACACCTATGTATATATCTGGTTAACCGGTCAGCTGGAACTTTGAAAGGGGTTTAGAGGGACTTTTGGAGCACTAAGTCACCTGAGGCTCTGGATGACCTCCGGGATCAGAGGCAGTAGTCTTGCACAGCATAAGCAGGAGATGGCTATGCTGATGTCCCTCTTGGTTGACTCTTGTGGGGACATTTGATTGGCTGTGAAGTAGGAGGGGCGGTGGCAAAAGCAGCTTTGACACCGTCCAGAGATTTCTGACAGGGGTCCTTTAATGGGAATGGCTGTCACAGGTCACTCAGTTTCACCTCTGCTTGGTGCTCTGTATGTTTAGAGTCATCGGGTACCCTAGTTACTGTCGGACTATAGTTCCCAGCATTTCTTTCATTGGCCAAGCTGTCTAGGACAGCTGGGACTCATAGGCAGATGCAGTTGTTGGGCTACTTAACGGGCTCTTAGTAGCATTCTGACCTTCTTTGGTGTTTATGGCCCAGATCTTCAGGGGTGTCCAACAATTCTGGGTAGATTATTTCTTTATTATGATTTAGTATGATATACAGTAATTCCTCAAGGATTTGTGAGGAAGGATATATCGATGGGGCCGTTCCTTGCATCACCCCCCATCACTGCTCCAGGTATTTATAAAGGAGAGGCATGTTGTAGGTTTTTTATGCAACCATGAAGGCCTCGGGTAGGTGATTCACTGCCCACAGAGGGTGTGGCTGCTAGAAATAGCAAACCTGAACTCCGCATCTGGAATTAAAAGTCTCGGGTAACAACCAAACTTCATAAAATAATTAACCTGAGCTGTATTTAAGGGTACCTTGCAATGATCAAGTAGCAACGTGACTGCTCTGGGCACTGAGACCATCGGGGAACAAAATTGTCGTGTTTGGTCTTTTTAGGGTTTTAGACTAGAGGATGGTTGGATCAGGTGATCAGCCTTTGATGGGTCCTCTTTGGCTCCCCCCAGTTCCTACAACTGGGAAATGCTCTGTGTCCCAAGGATATTGTGGAGTCCCAGGTGGGCTTAAAACAGGCCCCTACTGGGCAGTCAACAATGTGTGGGCCTCAACAGGGGCACTGTGGACAGCACTTAAATTCGTTGTGAGTTACACAATAACAATAAAGATATTCTATTCTATCCTCCTCATCCTCCTCCTACTCCTCTCCTCCTCCTCCTCTATGCAACCCGTTCCCTTCTAGCACTGATGATGTTACCTAGTTTGGGTCATGAAACATCTGCAAGAGAACAACCCAGCTCAGAGAGCACCAGGGACCCCACACTCTTCCTCTTCTTCCTCCTCCTCCTCCTCCTCTCCTTCCCCCTCCTCCTCTTCCAGACCTTACTCACTCTCTGGATTGTAGCCCTGTGTCCCCCACAACTGCAGCAAGACCACGATTGGCAGAAGCAGCCCTGGCTGGGTCTCCATCCCCAGCTACGGCTCCTGGCCTCTGTTCTCCATTGTTCAAGTGGTGCCACAGCACTCAGATGCCGACATCAGCGGGTTCTCCTTCTGAGTTGCTAGGAGACGGCTCTGGCCGGAAGGGAAGGGCCACTCAACCACTCCTGGCCCAGACCGGTGGCCTTCGGCGTGGAGGAATTCCTGGAGTGAAGTCAACCCTGTCTTGGATTCGCACAGGCCCGGCCGTAATGGGGGTCCAAAGAACTGCTGAGGAGGCAGCTGGTGGTCATGGCAAAGCTGGTGAAATGTCTACCCCAGGGGTAGGTAGCTGTGCTGGCTCAGGAATTCTGGGAGTTGAAGTCCACGAGTCATAAAAGAGCCAAGGTTGCCTACCCCTGGTCTACACAATAGAGCGAGGCTGACTGGGGAATTCTGGGAGTTGAAGTCCAGCCCTCTTAAAGGTGCCATGTTTGAAACCCATTGCAATGGAGCTTCTGGAGGCCTGAACATCTTCTACAAGGGTCTTTATACTTATATTAACCGTTTTTCACACTTACGACCGTTGCAGCCTCCCCACGGTCACGTGATGCTTGGCAGCTGATTCTTATTTACGATGGTTGCAGTGTCCTGGGGGAGTCACATGGTTCCTCTTTGGCCACAAGCAAAGTCAAGGGGGGGGGAAGACGGGTTCGCTTAACAATCGTGTCACTAGCTTAACAACTGCACTGATTCAGTTAAAAACCGTGGCAAGAAAAGTCGTAAAATGGGGCAAAGTTCACCAAACGAATGTTTCACTTAGCAACACAAAGGTTGGGTTCCATGGGGGTCATAACTAGAGGACTACCACCTGTGCCTAAAACAAGTCTGCTTTGGAAGGTTGCAAGGGTTTTAGTGCCGCGCTGACCGCAGAGGCTCCCAGCCATTGTCCAGGTCAGAAACTGGTGGGAACTGGTTGTGACTGGCCTCCCTCTCAGGCCATGGAGGGGACCTCGTGGGTGAGAGGTCCTCCGTGGAAAAAGGGGGGCCTGACCGATGGCCCCTTGATGGCACTGCGCCAGGTGCAATCCTGTCGGTGGGTTTGCAGTCTTGGGATTCCAAGAGAGCAAGAAACTGCCGTCCCGCTTTATGTCCACAGGGTTCTCACACACACACATCTCGCACAGGCGGTCCTCGGCTTGACAACTTAACCACCCTGCTATTAACGACGACAGGAATTCCCTTAACTGAGACACGGTCGTAAAATGAGGCAAAACTCACTTAACAACCCTTTTATTAACAGAAATTTGGGGCCCAGCTGTGGTTGTAAGTCAAGGACTACAGCAACCTTGATTGTGGTTGTAAGTTGAGGACTAAAAGCTCGTGGTATCCAAAGCAGAACATCCAAATTCAGCCAGAGTTTCATCCCATCCAGCATTAACCTTGCGAACTCTCAAGCTTCCTCCTTCCATTATATATTCAAGATGGACAGTATTTAATATTTATTTGCTACGTGTATGTAGGGGTGTGGGTCTATACATATGTTGTTCATAGTATGTTTAGGTGTGTGTCATGTATGTGTTTCACTTTGAGAGCGGGCAACTAAATTTCATTGTTGATGTGTGCCATCGTGCCCACAGTATAAAAATGACAATAAAGGTTATCTTATCTTATCTTAATTGTCATCATAAGTTGAGGACTACTACCTAAAACTGTATGACTGTAATACAGTTATAATAATAAAATAGAGTAGTTCTCGACTCGCAACCGTAACTGAGCCAGGAACCAGGATTATGAACAATGCTGGCCACTAAGCAGGTCATCCTGTGAGTGATCTTTTATGACCTGTGAGTGATCTTTTATGACCTCTTTTTCCATGATTATGCACCAAACAGACTGTCTGCAAGGGGTGTTTCCCCCCCCCCAGAAACTAGAAGTAAATGCCGGTTACGCAAACAGCCACAGATGAAGGCCAGTCCGGAGCACTTCAAGGGGGGAGGGGCGGCCATTGGAACTTGAATCTGGGTCATCAGTACTTTTTGGGGAAGGTCAGTCGTAACTCTGAACGGCTGCTAAGGGACCGGTTGTAACTCAAGGGCAACTACCACATTTTTAAGAAATCAGAATTTATTTTCCAAATGCAGAAAAATCACCCAGGACTTCTTGTCAACGTCCACAGTATGATATCCACACTCAGTGTCCACAGCATGAAAAAAGACTTGCAAATTAAAATTAAACTTCAAATTAAAACGATTAGCATTTTTTCCCCATCTTTGAAGAAAGCAGCGGAAAGAAACTTAAGGCTTAGGCTCTCCTGCTTCAGCAGTGGGTTGGACTAGAAGACCTCCAAGGTCCCTTCCAGCTCTATCATTCCATGCCCTGTGTAGCAGCTTCCTCTTCAGATCCACTAACTTCCAGTTCCCTTCAGCCTCCAACCCCAGTGGTCTCTGACAGGGAAGAACGGCGCATTATCTTCATTCCTGATGAGTTTGAAGTTTTAAAGACGGGAAGAGGTGCAGCTGCAGGAAACAGATAATCCTCTCCCTGCCAAGGATGGTCACCTGAACATCTCATCCAGCAGGATAGATTGCTCCTGATCACGGAGCTTCCCCGACTCAGAAAGCAAGATGGGATTCTCCCCCCCCCCCCGATTAAAAAAGCAATTGCAGAAACTCCTTGGGAACGTGTTAAAATGAACGCGCTGTTCTGTCCACGGGTGCCAGAGCCAGATGTGGGCTGTGGGTGACGGGGTGTGTGAGGAAGGAGGGGGGCTAGGAGGCGCAGCGGCAGCAGGAGGGCTTGGGGCTGCACTGGGGGGAGCAGCAAGGCTGGAGCGAGGGGTCGCTGCCCAAGGCCAGCTGGCTCTGCCCAAAGGTCATGCCCCCGTCGAAGGCGGCTTTCAGCAGGCGGGTCTCCTTAAGGACCTTCAGGATTTCGGCCTTCTGGGCACCGGCCTGCAGGAGGTTGTAGTTCTCCTCAGGGTCCATCTCCAGGTCGAAGAGCAGGGGGGGCTCCCGGGGGGTGAGGTTGGCGAAGCCGCTGCAGGCCCGGTCGGGGGTCGCGGCGCTGTTGAAGGATCCTGGGGGTCCAAAGAGAGACGGGAGGCCCAGCTGGGCATTGGCCGTTTCATTGCGCCTGGCCTTCCTGGGGGGTTTATCTTTCTAATACTGTGTAGGCCACCCAGAGTTACTTTGTGNTCTATCTATCTATCTATCTATCTATCTATCTATCTATCTATCTATCTATCTATCTATCTATCTATCTATCTATCTATCTATCTCTATATCTATTTCTTTCTGTCATCCATCATCTATAAAGTTTTCTACAGCTGCTCTTAGGAGGTCGTAAGCCACCCAGAGTCTCTTGACAGTGAGATGGCCAGCATATAAATTTGATAAATAAATAAAGGGCTCACCTTTGGTGAAGAAGTGAGCCTTGTATTTGCCGTAGCGGACGGCAAAAACCCCATATAATTCATCGGGAGCCGTCGGGTAGAAGAACATGGTCTGACGGGGACTCTGTTGGAAGAATCAGAGAGGACAACATCATCCTAGCCCTGATGAGGTTCCCTAGCTGGGTCATGAAATGTCTGCAACAAAACATCCAGCTGAGGGAGTATCAGGGACCCCCCCTCCTCCTCCTCCTCTCACAAATCCTCCTCCCTTCTAGCATTGATGATGTTCCCTAGCTGGATCATAAAACATCTGCATGAAAACAGCCAAGAAGAACTGAAGAAGCTTCTTGGATGAGAAGCGAAATGTTTTCAAGGAAAAAAAAACCCCCCAAAAGTCGAGTTGCCTCTTGAGAAAAGCGCCTTTGGGACCAACGGGGCCCGAATGATGGAGACCCTTTTCCAGGACAGGGAAAGCGAGTCCCCCCCCCTCACTCCCGCCAGCCCACCCCCCCCGGAAGCCTACCTTTCCTTTCCCCAAGAGGAGGGGGCTGAGGTCATATCCGTCCAGCGTGACGTTGGGGAGAGGCACCCCAGCCAGCGCGGCCAGAGTGGGAAGGATGTCCAAGGTGCTGGCCAGTTCATGGGTCACTCCTGGCGCCAAGAGAGAGCAGTCAACGAGGGGCTTATCGAAGGAACATCCGCTCTGCCCCTGCCCCACGACAAGCCCCTCCCACTGCCTCACCTGGCGCAATGCGACCTGGCCAATAAGCCACGGCAGGCTCCCTCATGCCCCCTTCATAGGTCGTCCCCTTCCCACATTTGAGCAAGCCCGCACTGCCTCCTCGGGAGCCACGCATCATCTCTGGGCTGCCAAGAAACGAGAAACGATGTTTTAGGAATCATCCTTGGACCTCAGGAGCAGCCAAGCAAGTTTTGAACAGTAAGCAACGTATAAACAGTTTTGTTTTAATCCTTTACTGGGGAAAAATTGTTCTCCTGCTCCTGCATCTATAAATTCTGGGCCTGTTTTGTAAGGCGGGGGGAGGGAGAACTATTATTATTGTAATACAACTATCGGCATTCAACTAGGAAGGACAATATATGTGTGTGGGTTTTTGTCTTTTTTTGTTTTTAAATGCACAATTTCTTTAAAAATGTTTTGTCTAGTCTTCTTTTTGAAGTTTGCCAAATGGCAACTAGACTTTCTTGGGTTTTTTTTCCCTTGAAAAAGTTTCGCTTCTCATCCAAGAAGCTTCTTCAGTTCTGAAGAACACTGAAGAACTTCTCCAGAACTAATGAAGCTTCTTGGATGAGAAGCAAAAGATTTTCAAGGGAAAAAACTCCCAAGGAAATCCAGGCGGTTTTGGGAAAAGCGCCTCTGGGACACAGCCACGATGTTCTGTTAAACTGGATTCTCTGCTATTGTGAGAACCCACCCAGACTAAGCCGAGGTGCTTCCATGGCAGCAGGATCTGTTACCGATGGTCACAAAGGATTGCCTGGCCTACTCCAACCCTTGATGCTAAACGGACGCAAACTGACCGTTCCTGACCCAAAGACTGGCCCGGTTGCACACTCACCCATTGTCAGATGTGAAAAACACCAGCGTGTTTCTGTGGACGCCGGCATCCTGCAGAGCCTGCAAGAGGGAGCCCACCGAGGCGTCAAACTCCAGGAGGGCATCGCCATAAGGCCCTCTCAGGGACCGGCCCGTGTAGTTTTGGCTCCCAAACTGGGGATAATGGGTATGCTGCGCAGAGGGAAGACAGACACAAACATCAACGCTGTAAGCCGGCCAGGTCATTGGGTTGAGATGGGCAGCTATAGGAATTGAATTGAGTTAATTAATGAATGCAGAGAACAGCAACAAAGATGATTAGGGGGACGGAGGCTAAAACATACGAAGAACGGGGGGCGGCTGGGGTGGTGGTGGAAGAAGCAGAGACAGAGAAGCACATCGCCCCCAGGACACCCAGGGCCAAAGGCCATCAAGCTTTCAATCAGCCCCTCCAGATAAATGGGAGGCTACTTACAACAGTTCGTTTAGTGACCGAAGTTACAACAGGACTGAAAAAAGCAACTTAGGGCCGTCTTTCACCCTTATGACCTGACAGAATCCCCCGGGGTCACCTGGTCAAAATTCAGTAATGCTTGGCCATTGACTCCCTTTTAGGACCGTCGTAGTGTCCCGGAGGTGTGTGTGTGACGGGATTCCCCTTTTGTTGGCCTTCTGCCAGGCAAAGTCCGTGGGGAAGACGGATTCCCTACTTCACGACCGTGTTACCAACTAAGTGATTCGCTTAACAAACGAGGCGAGAAAGGTCCTACAAAGGGAAGGAAAAATTCACTGCCTCGCTTAGCAGCAGAAAGTTTGCGGTCGTAAGCCGAAGGCTGCCTGCATAAAATGGGCTGATGTTTACCCCCCCCCCCAACCTCCCCCCCCCCAAATCCCAAGTCGATCCCGGAAGACTCACGTGAGAGGCGTAATAGAGCAGGAAGGGCTGCTTGCGCTGAGCGGAATCCAGGATGAAATCGCGCGCAAAGTTGTTGTAGTGGCCCTCCAGGCGGGGGAAATATATGGGCTGCTCCAGGATGCTCTGGTTCAGGAACAGGGGGACAGGGACCACCCCCTGGTCGCAGACCCCAAAGCACCGAGTACGGGGTGGGAAGCAGGTTAGGTTCTGGCAGGGGCCCTGCAAGAATAACGTAGACTAGAGTAACAGAGTTGGAAGGGACCTTGGAGGTCTTCTAGTCCAACCCCTTGCTCGGTGGTTCCCAGGGAAGGCAAGCAGTCTGGGAAGATTCTTGCAGACAAGAATATTTTAAAAATGTGAATTAAAAGGACAAAGAAACAAAAACACACAATATCCCCCCCTAATTGAACACTGAGAAATAGATTGCAACAATAATAACTCCCCCCCCCTTTGCAAAGAAAGTCCAAGGTTTATAAACTTTTACATCCATTTGCAACCCAACTGACCTGTCCTATATTGTACTGTGTACCGGTATGTGAAAAAGAAAAAAATAGTTAACAGGTTTAAACCACAGCAAGGCAAGGCCCTCCGTTAACCGTCTGTTACTGTAATTTATTTGTAGAAAGTGAAACAGAAAGTGCTTTTTTATCTTTTGGGTTTTGTATTTTAATCTTTTGAATAAAATAACAGCGGTTAAAGTTGCTTGCTGCAGCTGTTTAAGAGTTCCTCTGGTTGCTTGGACCTCACATACATACACAAACACACACAAACACAGCCGTCTTAAAGAATCTAACAAAATATATTAAAAACAAAAACAAAAAAAATAGGGACCGTGACGACATCTTGGGTGGGGTCACCTGTAGCAGAAGCCACAAGCAGCTGTTTAATCCAGTCATTTATTTGTAAATCTTAGTCTTAAATCTAAACCAGGGGTAATCAACCTTGGCTCTTTTATGACTTGTGGACTTCAACTCCCAGAATTCCTGAGCCAACTGTGCTGGCTCAGGAATTCTGGGAGTTGAAGTCCACGAGTCATAAAAGAGCCAAGGTTGACTACCCTGATCTAAACCATTATATACAATTTGCAAATTTTCAGCCAGGAAAATAACCCCCAAAGGCCTGGGGGGCTGGTTTTATTTGAGTTCTTTCAGAGCAGAGATTGTCAAAGAAATTGCCTGATCAACTAAACCGGCGATCCTGTGAATTTAAGAGGAGTGGACTTCAATTCCCAGCATGCCGGCTGGGGAATTCTGGGAGTTGAAAAGTCTAAAAGTTGCTAACCTTGAAAGATCTTGTTGCTGCCATCAGCAGCTGAGGAACACACACACACACACACACACACACACACACTTCCACACACACACACACACTTCCATACATTCCTCCTAACTTCCCTTCATCTCCTCCTATTTTCTCCAGATGATTGAAGTGTTTTATCTAGCTTTTAAAATCTTGAGGAAATTATGTTCATTCCAGATTGGCATTGAAAGGTTTCCTCCATTCTGGAACGAATTCCAAGTCCTGTTCACATGTTTCCAAGCTGACTCAGAGTCCGGGGTCTGAGCTTGGTGGTCTTCCTGCAGATGTTTCATCGCCCATCTAGGTGACTTCATCTGTGCAAAAACTGGAATATTCTTTATTGGCCAAGTGTGATTGGAAACACAAGGAATTTATCTCTGGTGCATCAGCTCTCAGAGTACACACAAATAACGAAGTGATAAATCATAGATCCTAAATCATAAGTTGCAGACTACTATATGGGTCAATATCTCTGGAAAGAAGCAGTGATGAAGGAGTTAGGGATTTAGCTCGGAGATGGCACGGAGGAAGAAACTGTCCTTGTGTCCAGTTGTTTTGGCAGGCAATGCCCTACAGTGATGTCTTGAGGGGGAAGCTGAAACAATTCATGTCCAGGATGTGAGGGGTTTGTGGATATTTTCTCAGCCCTCTTTCCTCTGAAGGGAGACGGCTTTGCTTTCTGTTTATACGGCAGTCGAGGAATCTCCAACTCACACAAACAATCAGACAGTAAACAGCAACCTAATCAAGAAACCACCAAGAACACTTCCAGCAACTCTGACAAGGTGAAACACACACATATAAACACTCATATATAAACCCCCCTCCCTTCTAGCACTGATGATGTTCCCTAGTTGGGTCATGAAACATCCGCAAGAAGACCACCCAGCTTAGAGAGCACCAAGGACCCCACAGTCCTCCTCCTCCTCCTCCTCCTCCCCCCCACCCCACTCTACAAACCCAATTCCCTCCTAGCACTATGATGTTCCCTAGTTGGGTCATGAAACGTCCGCAAGAAAACCACCCAGTTCAGACAGCACCAGGGACCCCACGGGTCAACCCAGAGCCACGAAGATGCTCTTCTACTGGGATTCAGACTCTTCCACCCAAGGGGATCCAAGTGGAACGACAGTCCCAGGGAGCCCGGAATCCCCACCACGCCACCCCTGCGGCTTCTCACCTGGTCGTGCGAGTAGGGTATCCCGAAGAAGTGGTCAAAGCCTTGGTTGGTGGGCAGGAACATGCCCTTGGGACCCAGGCCCAGATGCCACTTGCCAACCATGGCTGTGGTGTAGCCGCGCTCCTTCAGCAATTCGGCCACCGTCACCTCGGACAGCGGGAGGCCTCCCTGCGAGTCGGGATAAAAGACGCTCGGGTAGATCCCGGAACGGGTCTGGTAGCGTCCCGTCAGGAGGGCTGCCCTGCGCAGAGAGAGAGAGAGAGAGAGAGAGAGAGAGAGAGAGAGAGAGAGAGAGAGAGCATGAATGGAAAACCAGAGATACAGAGAGTCCTCGACTTACAACTATTTATTTAGTGACCATTCAAGGTAACAAGGGCACTGAAAAAAGTGGCTTATGGCCGTTTTTCACACTTACGACCGCTGCAGCCATCCCCAGGCTCACGTGATCAAAATTCAGACGCTTGGCCACTGACTCCTATTTATGACGGCCGCAGTGATCCCCTTGTGCGACCTTCGGACAAGCAAAGCCAATGGGGGAAGCCAGATTCACTTAACAAGCGTGTGACCAGCTTAGCAATCGCAGCGATTCACTTAAACACCGGTCGTAAATGGGGGCAAAATTCACTTGAGAACTGTCTCACTTAGCAACAGAAATTTTGGATTCAATTGTGGTTGTTAAATCAAGGGCTACTTGTAGAGGGCGAGGTCCAATCACCATCAGAGGCAGAGCTGGAGGTCCCAAGTCCTCCCTAAGGAACACAAAGGCTGGAAGGTCTCCACGCTGGAAGACAGAGGCCACCTCAAGAGGTTTGGTTCCAGCTCTTGGCCCCGTTGCTCTTCTGTCCGGGCTCCGAGGCCAAGAGTCTTCTCCATGAACCCTCTTGACAAAAGGGGGGACCCAGACTCTTCTGAGGTGGCCATCAGAAGAATAGGAGGGGACCACTCTACCTGGAAGGGCTGCAGACGGAGCTGCTGCTGTAGAAGTCCGTGAAGCGCAGGCCCTCGGCAGCCATCCTGTCCAGGTTGGGGGTGGCGGAGGTGGGATGCCCGTAGATGCCCAGATCTCCAAAGCCCAGGTCATCCGCAAAAATCAGGACGATGTTGGGGGGCTGGTAGGCTGGCTCAAGGGAGGCCAGCAGCAGCAGCGGGCACAGGGCGAGGAGCCAGGACGGAGGCAAGGCTGACATGGTTGACCAGAAGGGATGCTGGCCAGGCCAGGTCAGCAGGAAGTCTGTCCGAGCCACGAAGCCACCCTCAAAGGCTCAGCTTGAGTGGGGCGCCAAAGGTCCACCTCGCCGTTTATACCCCACTGCTCTCCAATCAGGAGATCAGCACGTGGGACTCAACCGTCACCGGAAGGGTCTTCAGCCGGAGGTTGACTCTTCAAGATCTTCGCAGACCCCACGCTCGCTCCAAGGCTGCAAAAGAACAAAAGACTCAGGAAAAATATGGCAAAGACCTAGAAAACACAGCAATAAAGACAATAACAGGATATTTCAGGAGCTCCCAGTCCAGGAGCAGGCACCCACTGGTGCGTAAGATGGATCTGCGCAAAGGTTCCCCTGTCCAGGAGCCATAAGTCCAAGAGGACCCCCAAATGGTGTGCCAGACCTGCATGGGGAGCGTTGCCCCATCCAGAGTCAGAGGTGTCAACTCTCTTGACCCTGGGGGGGGGGGGGCAAAAACCCCAGCCACTCCATCTTGCTGGAATTGAGCACACTGATGATCCCACAAGCCCCAGGCTGCTGGATGACTCGTCCTACCACCTCCGTATACATGTTACAAAGGAACAGAGATATTGGGGCCCTGAGGCCCCCCACTTAATACAGCCCCCCACACACTGAGTGATACTAGCCACAGAGAAAGCAGGAGAACCACTGCAAAACAGCCCCCCCACTCTGAATCCCAAGAGCCGGTCCAGCATGGTAGATATCAAAAGCCGCCGAGATCCAGAAGGGCCAGGATGGACCCATCACCCTCAGCCTGAGCCCTCCAAAGGTCATCCATCCATATATATGACCAATGACGTCTCAGCACTAAAGGTAGTCCTCGACTTACAACAATTGAGCCCAACGTTTCTGTTGCTAAGCAAGACAGTTGTTAGTTTTGCCCCACTTTACGACCTTTCTTACCACAGTTGTTAAGTGAACCACTGCAAAGGTTAAGTTAGCAACACGGTTGTTAAGCGAATCCAGCTTCCCCTTTGACTTGGCTGCTCAGAAGTTTGCAAAAGCGGATCAAGTGTCCCCAGGACACTGTGACCGTCGTAAATACAAGTCAGATGCCAGGCATCCAGATTTTGGTCACGTGATCATGGGGATGCTGCAACGGTCGTAAGTGTGAAAAGCGGTCACAAGTCATTTTTTTTTCAGGGCTGTTGTAACTTTGACCGGTCTGTAAATGTAAATGTTGTAAATCGAGGACTAACAGTACAGGGTGCTCTGAATCCGGGCGGCTTCAAGAAAGACGCTCTCTAGCTGGGAATTCCCCACCCTCCCCCCACCCTTCCCTAAAAAGCCCAGCAGGAGGCCCCGCGGATGCCCCCCACCCACTTTCGCAGAGAGCCCGGCCCTCCCCCCACCTCCAGAATCCCACGAGAAGCCCCCCCCCCAGAAGCCCTCCGGCCCTCGGGGCTTTCCGAGCCGCGGGACCGACCGCCAAGCTGCCGCTCCTGCGGGCTGGCCCCGAGGGACGCCGAAGCCTGCCCCTCTGGAGGGCGCCCGGTTGGCGAGGGGGGGAAAGAGCCGGCTCCATTCGCGACGCCGCGGGCAGGCGCTGCCGGACTTAGGGCTGGAAGGGACCCCGGAGGTCTTCTAGTCCAGCCCCCGCCCCAGCTCCGCCCAAGGCAGGAGACCTCGGAGGCGAGACCGCGCCTGGAACCCCAAGAGCGCTTGGAGAGCACCCACCCACCCCCGAGACCCCAACCCGGCTGCCAGCGCCCCGCCAGCCCCGATGGAGCAGCGCCTCGGCCCCGGCACGGCCTCTCCTGCCGGCCCCTCGCCCTCTCGCCCGCCGGCTGCGCAGCCTTGCCTCGCTCGCGCCTCGGAAGCCCCGGTCCTCCCGCCGCGCCGCCGCCAGCTGTGCCCGCCAGCCCCGGCCAGAGTCACGCGGGCAGCGGAGGCGGCCTTCAAGAGCCGGGGCAGGGGGCGGGGCTTCTCCGGGCGGAGGGGAGGGGCTTCTGCGCTGGACCTTGACCGCCGCCGCCCCTGGAGCCCCCGCGGGGAGAGGCTGGGCTGCGGGAGGGGCTCCGGGCGGGGGACGGGCTGGGAGACCCCCCCTGACCCAGGCCCGGGGGGGCGGTGAAGGCGGGACCCCCGACCGAAAGCGCCCAGCCCGGCCCCGCTGGGAGGGAGCGGCTGCTTCTTTCCCACGGGGGTGGGGTGGTGCCTGGGGGAACCCCGCCCCCCAGGCTGGTGGGGAGCTTTTAAAACAACACAAACACCCAGAGATACATACAGACACACAACCACACACACACAGAGAGATACATACATATACACAATCACACATACAATCACATACACACACAACCACACACACAGAGAGAGATACATACATATACACAATCACACACACATACAATCACATACAAACACAATCACAATCACACACAGAGATACAATCACAATCACACACACTTAGATGCATACACACAAGCACAGAGAGAGATATACACTCAATCACAACCACACACACACACACACACCATACATACACACACACAATCGCAATCAGGCTGGCCAAGAGCGTTCTCCTCCCCCAAGGGGATGAATTGCGAGAGGCCTTGGCCCACCCCAGGTTGCCCGGCAGCCAAGACTGAAGGCGAAGGCGGCATTGGGGGGGGGGGCAGAGCCCAGCCAGAGGAGGCCCCAGCCGGGCAGATCCGGGTCCAGCCGGTGCCCGGAGGGAGGCAGCCCAGACGGCGGATGGCAGGCCGGCCGGCCGGCTTCGCTTCTGCTCCCTTCCTGGCCAGTCTGGGGCTGCCCAGGAAGCGGAGGAGGCTCTTTGGGGGTGGAGGGGGTGGGGGGCCTGGGGGGGGACCCATCGGGCACCACCGGGAACACCAGAGCTGGGGAAGGGCAGGGAGGCGGCTCTAAAGGCGTCTCCTGAGTCATAACTCCGGGTAAAAGACCTGGGTCTCATCCGGATGCAAGTCTGCCTTTAAATCAACCGGGGAAACCCGATTCACTTAACAACTGGGTTACTAGCTTAGCAACTGCAGTGATTCACTTAACAACTGTGGCAAAAAAAGGGGGGGGACAAAAGCTCACTTAACAAAAGTCTCCCTTAGCAACAAAGTTGTTGTAGTCCTAAGTTGAGGGCTACCTCCACTCTTACTACAACGCCCCTTTGACTTTCACTGGAGATTTTCAAGGAAAGATTGGGTTCCTCTGAAATGGTGCAGGCTTTCCTGCTTGAGCAGGGGGTCGGACTAGAAGACCTCCGGGGTCCCTTCCGACTGTGATTCGGTTATTCTGAACTCTGCTCAGGCCCCCTTGACCATCCTCCCCACACAACGACCCCAGAAAGGCTCCAAGGACCGAGAGGGCTCTGCCTACATTGCGTGATGCGCCGTCCCTCTAAGACCCCCACAGAGGCTGCTGGAACTTTCTAGAAGGAAAAAAAGTGGCACGGTACCCTCATGAGGGAGATGGAAAATCTGCCCGGAGACAGAGAAAGCCCGCCAAAAATCAAGGGGCGTGGTGAGGTAACTGCACTCAGCCAATCGGAAGAGCTGATGGAATCTACAGGCTGTATATCAGGGGTAGTCAACCTTGGCTCTTTTATGACTCGTGGACTTCAACTCCCAGAATTCCTGAGCCAGCACAACTGGCTCAGGAATTCTGGGAGTTGAAGTCCACGAGTCATAAAAGAGCCAAGGTTGACTACCCCTGCTGTATATAAACAGCAGTTGGGGGGGAGGCAGGGAGCGCCTGCCTCGAGATTTTAGTCCTGAGTGTGAATTCTTCACCTCTGGGCAGAAGTTCTTCATAAGTTGCCACCCAGCCTTGTGGGATCGTTGCCTGACACACGTCAGATGACACATCACAGATCACGTGAAGTGTTAGCACCACTTTACAAGGCCTTGGGAAGGCCACGCTTGGAATCCTGCATCCAGTTTTGGTCACCACGATATAAAAAAGATGTTGAGACTCTGGAAAGAGTGCAGAGAAGAGCAGCAAAGATGATTAGGGGGCCGTAGGCTAAAACATATAAAGAACAATTGCAGGAATTGAGTGTGTCTATCTAGTTTAACGAAAAGAAGGACGAGGGCTGACATGAGAGCAGTCTTCCAGTATTTCAGGGGCTGCCACAAAGAAGAGGGTGTTCATTTATTCTCCAAAGCACCTGAAGGCAGGACAAGAAACAACAGATGGAAACTAATCAAGGCAAGAAACAACCTAGAACTGGTATAGGGTCTCCTGCTTCAGCAGGGGGTCAGACTAGAAGACCTCCAAGATCCCTCAAGCTCGATTATTCCGTTATTCTGAGTTCCTGGGCACAGGGCCACATGCCCACTGAGCTCTCCTGGCAGCAGCCATTCTAGGGCATGGGCTGCCCAGCCTCAGGGCCTGATACCCAGGGAGGCTGCGGTGCCTGAAGGGCAGGGGTGTGAGTTCCCTGCCTGCCCCTCCCATGGTCCACACTGAGGAGTCTTTGTGAGTGCCAGCTGGGGGCGGATGCCAGCAAGCTGCTTCTGGGGAACAGCCAGCAAAGACCGGCAGGCTTCTGTACCCTTTAGCTATCCAGTCATCTGAAATGCCAAGCCCTCTCGCTTGGTCCCTAAGCAGCAACTCGGCCGAGGAACAGCTGGAAACTGTGCCTGGCTCGGACTCTCCATCAACTTGCCTCCCCAAAAGGGGCCACCGAATAAACTCCAGTCTCCACATCTGGGCTGCCGGTGGGGCGAGGAAGTCCCAAGAATGCACATCTGCTGGAAAGGGTGCCCATCCCATTGCCCAGGTAGGTGCTGAGTCCCCTGGGAGGGTTTTCTTACCCGTCTTCCACCCTGGACCCAATGGGGCTGCCTCGTCCCAAGGGTCTCCATCCAGATCGAGGGGCAGACCATAGGCAACCAGCTCTGCCCCATCGGGGTCACGTTGAGAAGATGGCACTGCCGTTTGACAATGACGCCTTGCCATTATCTCTGAGCAAATGAGCTTCTTTCTGATTGGGTCCCTGGGGC